AGCCAGGTATCCAAAACGACAGCAGAGATGAGAGGCAAGCCCATTTTGAACAGGATGAGACTGCTTTCCCACAGAGGGAGAGAGGTAGCAGTTAAATTTGTTTCAGTGGAGGTACTTAGAAAAGGAGCATGCTGTGAATATAGCCTTGGAGTCTCCTCTTCTCTTCTCTGGAAAGTTAGGGAATACTACTAGGGATGGTCCTCTAAATAGCATGCAAAAGGAGTAGAGCAACTGCAGACAGCCATGAAAACAAAACAAAAAGAAGGGACAAACATCTCAAGAACATGAAAATGGCCAAAATAATTAGAGTCTTTGATGAAAGCAATTGTGATGCACTGTAAGGCCCCAGAAAACAGACAAATCTGTCTTTTGTTTGTATAAACAATCATGTGATTGCTTCCAACAAGAATTACTTGTCTTTTGATGCCAGAGTAATTCTTCTGATATCATAATAATTACAGAAGGAATGGGCCCAGTGTTTTTATAAATTCCATTTTCATTGCTGGTGTTTTGCTTTTATCAAATTTAGTTACTATTTGATATTTTGTATAGAATTTTAATCTACAGTTTAGATCTTACCTGTTCTTTGATCATCAGTCTCTTTGATTAAATGTTAGGCAGATTGCAGTTGTCATATCAGGTCTTTTCAAGTGTTGCTCTCACAGAAGCTCATAGTTAAACAATTTTCTTTTTAATTGTCTTTTTCATGCTGAAAATTTGTGCTTTCCTTTAAAAATTACATGTTTGAAACTCCTCTAAGTTTGGGACACTTTTAAGATACATTGAAATATTGAGACCAAGTAATTCAGAAAATTATTTTTTACATTTTTACATGTTGTTAAATTGGCTGAAGACATTTTGCTTAGCTTCATCCTAAGAATGCCAGTGCTGGTCCTCAGTCTAAACCGAGTGAAGGTGTTACAGGGACAGAGACTGCTGTAACTTAGTGCAAAGCATCAGTGGGGATGTAAATATGTACTATGGCTTGGATAGAGTCCCCCTTGCCAAACTTTAAAAGCCAGATGTTAGTTCCACCTTTTTTTTTCTTTTTTAACATCTATAGCCTTTCCTGTAGCAAACCATGACACAGTACTGTGTCAAGATTTAAAGGGGGTAAACAAGAGGTACTGTCCTGGCTCCTGAGAAAACTCACCCCCAGAAGGAGGCTTAGAAACAGCAGCTACATCACTATCATGGGTTGAGCTGCTGCAGTTCTGTCCTGTACCTGGGTCATCTTGTGCCAGAAGATCTCTCTGAATTTATGACCTATAGCTTTGATTGTTGAAAGAAGATGGTTTACCTCACTGGGGCTTCCATCTCTTGGAAAATTACATGAACTGGAGATTCAGGCCAATACCCCCACCATTCCCACCACACCTATGTCCCCTCATAGGGGCTGGCAAGCTTCTCCTGCCTTGGGGGTGTACTTGGAGTTGTTCTAACACTGGCACAAAAACGCCTGGAGGTACCACCTAATAATAATACCATTATAACCCCCCCCCTTCCCTCTCCTAATCCATATCATTAGAAAAAATGGGTGCTATTGTTAACTGATTGCTAATTTTTCATTTGGAATACTTCTGCGGAAAAAGTTGCAATGTTGGTAGAGGTTACTGTAAGTGAAGAGATGCCTCTGATGCAAAATTGCGATCAACATGCATTGATTGCAGAGATGTGGTTTGGGGGTAAACAGTGCTTCCGGTTGTTTTTATAGCTAGTGCATTAAAAAACCCAAACCCAGCTTTGTAAAGAGGGGCTCTATTCTGTGGAATATCAAACTAAACTCTAACTGTGGATTAGTAGCTAAAGGAATTTTTTTTTTTTTGGCAGAATAATCTGTTGACTTTTACTTCTGCTGACAGAAGCGAGCTTCAGCAAAATGCTTTAAAAGTACATTATTTTGTGAAATATGCTCTTTCGGTGAGTGAAGGCAGGTTATCTTGACTCTTAAGTAATGCAGGAAAGAATATTGCAAGTGTTTAGGCAAATAGTGATATAATATACAAGAGAAAGATGTACTGCAATAGAGATGTTGACACTGCACCTTTATGCTCCTGTTCAGATCTCTCAGCTTTCAAAACTGGTAGATTGGGAAGCTGCAGAAAACTGTAGGGAACTACACTAGCAACAGTTCTCACTTCTTTTTTTTTTTTTTTCATGAAAGCCAAACTGCCCTTTATGGGCTATTAATTTGTGAAGTAATGTATCTCAGGGCAAGGCTGTATTTACAGAACCGAACATACAGATAGAATATCATAACCTGGGATTTAAAAATGTCACTGCACATGATGCCAGGATAAACAGAAATTAACTTCAGTTACATGTACCCTGACACTTCCCTTGTTTGTTTTTTTTTTATATATTGCCTCTTGGCATTACCTTTGTTTCCTACTCACCTGAAACAAACCTCTATCTAAGCTAAAGAAATACATGCCATCAAATAAAAATAATTGGGATAATTAAATATTGTAGTTAGCTCTCTGCCTGATAGAGATTAAAGGGGATATTTTTTATGCTATGGCAGTGACCACTGTAGTTTTCTAGTGGCTTCCTTCGTTATCACTTTATCTCTTCTTTATCTTCTATATCTATTAATTACCTCAGTTGTAATTTAGGAGGAGGGCCTTCAGGGGGGCACTGAATAGTGGCATGGCTCCCTTCAGCACAAACAGTGCATGCTCCTGTACTACAACTCACTGTTATGTGTGTGTCCTAGCCCTTCATCTCAAGCACTACACCCAGAGTACAGAGACATTACTCTGCCTTTTCCCACCTTTATCTCCATAGGTTTCTCTGGTTTTGAAGTTTTTTGACCTTCTACCAAGAAAAGGTCAAGCCAAGAGACAACTGTCCTAAAATAATCTTTACTTAGTATGTTTTCCAAGACTCTTTGGGCAGAGACCTTGTTTTCCATTTTGAGCAATCTGTTTTCTGCAATAAAACACTGAATATGTCTCTCTGTTGCTATAGAAATAATATTGCATTAAATTGGGGAACCAGTGCCCTGCTGTCGACAAATCTAATCTAAGTGTTAGTCTCTAGAGCTTGAATTTCACCACGGGGAAGAGGTATACATAATTCTACAAATTATTTCTGTAACTTATGCATAAATGTCTTTATACTCTGAAATTGTTAGCTAAATTTCCTAAAGTGATAGCATGGAGATTAACATGGTGTAATGTGTTTACATATATTTTAACAGAGTCTTTTCCCCACTCCCCTCCCCTGTACATTTTAATATTTATAGCTTGAAATTTCCAACTCTTTGCATAGGAAGGTGGGGAGCGGCAGAAAAAGCAGCTTTCTCAGCCAGGTTCCCTAGCCCATGAACAACAAAGTGTCCCAGATTTATTTAAATTTTTTGTTTTATTTTTTTAAAATCCAGCTCCTCCAAATAACATGAGATGTCATTTGCCCTGGTTTTTGGGGTTTTTTTTTTAGAATTAATGAGGATATTTTCCATACCTGGAAGGACAGCCTAAACTGACCGTGGTCCTGGTACATTAATATACTGCACAAACTGATCTGCTGTCCACTACTTTCTAGACTACACTGGCTGTCATATGCCCAATATTTTTCAAGTTACTCAAAGACTTTGCTACAATCATTTTCTACGCTGTACAGCAGTTAAACACAAGAGAGTTGTGGATTTTGACTTTAGACACCACATATCAAACCCCACATATGTCTTTACATTTAGACATAATTTAGACATAATATGGTTTTTCCCAGTATTTTTCTAAAGTTGTAGAATTCTAGTAACAGCAGTAAGTCGGAACTTAAGCCTGTATCTATAGGGTATGGAAAATGAATTGAAATCTTCACTAATAATGACACTAAGGGTCAGTGTTTGTCAACATATTGATCGTAAGTATTTTGAAGAAACATGGAGGAAAAAATCTTTTCTCTCATAGTTACATTACAGGAGCCCCTCTAGTATATTTATATGTATAATATAGATATGTAGTTACAAAAATAGAACAGAATTTAAAAATACATGATGATTGATTTGCCTAGACATGTATGCAAATATATGTTATAAATCCAATTTCAGAGTTGTGGTAAAAATCCTGTTACAACTTCTTGGTTAAAAAACGCAGTTATTTGTGAAATGGGCCTGTGTTAGATATGTATTGCAGGAGAAAATACAATTCATAAATGTTCAGTTTAATTCATGAATAATAAACATATCAGTGGTTTCTGATTAAAGATTACTTTTCAGTGAACTTAAAACCTCTGTCATCATTGGAATAAAATAACTTTTTTTAAAAAAACCCTTTCTAAATTTTTTTCAGTGTAAATTAATCTAGCAATTAGGTAAATCTTCCTAGACAAGGACAAATTTCTGACAACCAAAAAAGTAACTGTCTGGGAATGCATATTAATATAGAAACAGAGATGAGGGAAAAACTAGCAAAGTACACAATTGCCTTTCTTTGAAATTAATGCCATGCTCCTTATTAAAACAGACTTATATAAACAAGTCACCACAAGACACTAATTATTTTTTTGCTGTTAAAGTAGTTCTTGTAATGAAAAAAGCACCAACCTTAGTTCCTTTGCACAGCCATAAAATATAAATCAAAAGTTGACCCTGTTTGTACCCTTGTGTAAAGCTCTTACACCATCTAAGGTTGCTGCATTTTATTTTTTTTTTGCTACATCATCAGCCTGTAGATAAAAAGAGTTAGACTACTAAAGCTTTTGGTGCAAAAGACTAACTATTATATCACCTACTACTATGCTGATTGTTCCTGTCCAGAGCCTTGCTTAAGGTAAGCCATTGAAAATGGCTGAGTACATGATAAGGAGGGGAAAGGGTTGAGTGGACATACAATATTAAAAGTGAAGATGTGTTCTAGATCCTTGCATGTGATGATCACATATAGAATATTCTGATATAGAATATTTTCTTACTATGTATAGTTCAATAAACAAAAGCTAACAATGAGGGTAGGAAAACAGCATAAACACTAAGATGTGTTTGTTTTTTTCTATAGGAAGTCAGTGGAGGAAGGACCAAGAGCAGGATTTAAAGAATGTTCTGAAGAACACCAACCAGGACATACCATTGGTATTTGTCAGTGGAAATCATGATATTGGCAATACACCAACAAAAGAAACAATAGATAATTATTGCAAGAACTGGGGAGATGACTACTTCAGCTTTTGGGTTGGAGGAGTTTTCTTTCTTGTGCTGAATTCTCAGTTATACTTCGATTCTTCCAGATGCCCTGAGTTAAAGCAAGCCCAGGATGTGTGGCTCAATGAGCAACTGGCTGTTGCTCAAAAACATAAATGCAAGCATATAATAGTATTTCAGCACATCCCCCTGTTTCTGAAAAAACCTGATGAAGCCCATGACTATTTCAACTTGGAAAAATCAGTTCGTCAAGAGATAATGGAAAAGTTTCATAAAGCAGGTATTTTTTAAAATTTTCCTATTTTTGAATTTTTGTTTCAGATTGTTAATGGATATGCTGTCAGACAAAATACATTTAACTTAAATGGTACTGTTTTCAAGGAATTTTAGGTACTGCTTGTAAGCCTCGTTGTTACCTGTAGGTCAAAATTATCAACTGAATCTAATTGTACCAAGCAAAATTTAACTTTGAGTGAAAAGTAAAAAAGTGTAAGTGAAAAACCCTTTAAAATAAATAGCAAGGATTCAATTTTTCAAGTACTGATCGGTGTAAGACAACCTGAATTTTTCCTGCCTAAGGAGTGGGAGATCAGGTATTGCCATAGGAGAAAAATACAGGATTTATGTTTTACATAAAACATGGAAACAGAATTCAGAATTACCTTGGAGGTTGTTTTCTCCCACACTGAGCCAATTTTAAACCAAGAGTGTAATGCACTCCAGATTTATTCAGTGTTAAAAAGAGTCTTGCTCTGCTAAGATCAATCCTTTGCATATCCATTACTAATAGGGGCCATTTCTGGGATGAAGGGCAGGTGCCACATGCGCTAAACAAATATATTGTACCAAATCCATTAGCTTCATCTGATAACACTTGAATTCCACAGAGACAGACAGTATGGAGCTACTCCTCTATGCTGTTCCCATTGTTTCCAGTTAATTGCCTTCATGTTCCTGGAGTGTGCCAGTCCCTCAGAATTTCCTGCCAGCCTGCCATTGCTGCATTGGAGCGTCATTTTCTCTATATCTATAAGAGAACACGTTATTCAGATTACTGAACAATGCAAATTGTTTATGATATTGTTCCCAATTTTCCATATAATTGTTAAGCCTGGACTCATCCAAAACCAGTCTCATTTCCAAGCTCTGAATCTCCTACTGTTTCCAATCAGTGGGGCTAAAATTCAGAGCTGTCTGAGGGCTCTCCAGGGGACTGACACATTCGCAGATTCAAGTTTTACAAGTGGGGTTTTTTCCCATAAGAAGCCACACTGAGAATACCTCATAATATCTTTTTTAATTTTTGTGCTAGTGTTAATATAGTGGGAAGTATCACTTCCAGAAAGTTGGGCAGCTAAATGACTGCTTACGTACTATTGACTCAAAATACATCCTGGTTCATCGGAGAGCTTGTTAGCAGAAGGCCATTACCATACAGGTGTATCCCAGTAAATGAGCATCAGTATGGAAACCAAAGCAGTTCTGTTCTAGAGTTTTCTGTCATCCAGAATTTGGCAGCACTCAGTACTGGGAATGTAATTAATCACAAGATAAAAGAAATGCAGAATGTTATCATTGTACCATTTATCACTGTTAAGTTATCATGTCTTAGAGTGGTATTTCAGACAGATTCTCCTAATGTGTATCCAGAGGCTTAACCAAAAGTTGAGTAGTCTTCAAATGATGGGAGAAGAGGGAATGGGAAGACAGCAAGACAAGACAACTCTAGGGAAGAAATTCCCAAACTCCTTTCTGTGCCAACATCCCATTTGTACCTTCCCTCCATCATTTCCGTTTGTCCCCCTTGTTCCCACCCCTAAAAATCCTCCCAAAATTATGTGTTGTTTGGTTCCTTCGTGAATATGTTAAAACATTGATCTTTTCCTTGCTGTTTTATACAGTAAGTAAATGAGTCAATAGGTAATATTCGCAATCAAATAATCAAACATTTTGCTAATTAAATGAACACAGAGCAAGCAGCTCAGTGTAACTGAAGACTGCTGAGAAAAATGAGCTGAATCAAAAGTTGGCTCAGAGTTTCCTTAGTAACAGGTGCATTCTGTTTCCATTTTATTATTCAATTGAAGAACAGTCTTTATAAGACCACAAAATGTTATCAGTGGATTGTAAACAGGCAGTTATCGTGGTAGGATAGATGAACAGATAAGCAATGACACCACTTATTTTCCAGCTCTCTTCTTTGCCAAAGAATAATCGATTTCAGCATGTCATTAGACATGAAATTGTTTTTCCCCCAGTTCACTTCATACATTCTTGGAGGATTAAGACACAGAATATTGTTAATGAAATCCCAATCCATTTTGCTGCTTTTCTTTTTTAAACTATGACTTGCAGTTTAAGAAGGCTAACCCCTTATAGCACTTAATTTAGAAATTTGATATAAATATTTACTTGGGAAAAAGTCTGCCTTTTTAATGAGTCCGTAAGGCTGCTGCTATTCTTCTTCCTCTGACCTGTCACCAGTGCTTCCTTCCTCCTGCTCTCTTGCTGATTCAGTAATCTCCAACCAGTCCAAAGGTTTGTTGTGTAATTATGAAAAATTTCAGTATAATGTGCATGTTTTAGGGGTTGCTATGTTTGTCAATGTGTTGTTATCAGATGGGCATCATATTTCAGTTGTTAATAACCCAGGATGAGACCTGGAATTATCCCAGGTTTCATGTTTATATATTTTCTAGAAGCGTCAAACATAACTCAGCCGTAACTCACCTGGTTAGAGACAGGAAAGGAAGGACAATCTAGTAATTCAGGTTGTGCTATGAGCAAAGAAATTCATGTGGGTTTGTGTAGAAAATAATCGGATACTTAAAGTATGGTGATACAGCATAGGTGCTTCAAAGTGAGGTATGCAACTTTAGAAAATTATTATTTTAAATTCAGAACCCAGACTTCTGTAGTTATTCTCTTCTCATCACTTACGTATTACATAATGCTTTTGGTTTAAGTATCCACTCATTACAAGCAGAGATAAAAGACTAGCTGTCTTGTACATCTGGTACAAAATACTGAATTACATTTCTCACATTAGAAGTGTCCTTAACAGTTGGGCTAATTAAAGATAAAATCATGTCCTTATGATAAATATTTATAAATTGAAAATCTGGCATTTGTAAATATGTATTACTACTATGCAAAGTTAAACCATACTTGTAAGCTGCATGTCTAAGAAATCCTCCTAGCCCATTTTTTCTTTAAATGCATTATAACAAGTATTGTCCTTGAAAAGTGATTTCAGTGACAGTGAAAATCAACTCAGTTGAGAACACAGTTTATCATTTAAGTGAAAATACATTTCTGAAAGCAGATCTGTATAACTGCTGAAAGTTTAGCCTCAGCTGTCAAAGCTCTGTCTCCTCTACATGCCAAAGTTAAGTACAGAAAAAAACCTGTGTGCAGGAACTGTGACTGAGCTGACCTGACGTTCTCATCTGAGAGATCTACTGGAGTCACTCTACTCTGCTGTGTGAAATGCATATTCAGCTTTTAAGAATTTTATAGTGCTTATATAAATAGGTTTGCTTATAGCTTTCTAGGGAAAATAAAAAATTGTCATAGTGGCCTAGCCAAAAATCTGGTCTGCATGTTATGTGTCTTTGATAAACATAAGTAATAAATTAGTTTTTAAATTAAGCAGTTTATGTAATAGAGGACATACTTTTTTCTTACATATCTCATTCCAGTATAATATTCTTAGGATGTTAGAATTTTTTTTCTATGACCTGAAAAGCATGGGTATTTTTGTTGAGCTATAATCTTTTAAAGACTTTTTGTCCTGAGAACCATCACTGACGCACTAAAATTACTTACGTTACTTAACACAAAATAGTAATAAATGTTTCTTGATGGTGTGAATGAACTAAAACATTCCAGCAAATGACTGAACTTGTTTAAGGGCTCTGTTGAATAAAACCTACATTAATAGTTGGATTTTCACGAACAAAGTTGAGAAAAGACACTTTGGTTCAGAAGTGAGTTGAAGAGTATAGGTGGTCTATCTAGGTGAGAGATTTTGCATCCAAGAGAGAGTCACTAGATAATATATATAAAATATAAAAGGAAATTCCCTGCAGTCTCCATCTTTTTTAATTAAAAAGTTTTAAGTTCATCTAAATGTCTTCAAAGCAGTTTTTCAGATGTGGTTAAAAATAATTAGTTTGTACATATGAGGATAAATAACCTAACTTTATTAAATGGCATATTTTTTCATTGTATTTCCGATTGTAGGTGCTATACTTCTAACACCTTTACTCATTAAAAGTGGGTGATACCTACATTGCAATACTCCTATTAGAAATGTTATGACAGGGAAGTAGTATTAAAGGAAGAAGCAGCTTTCTGAACATCCACAGCTGAGATATATTTGAACTCAAAATTAAAGCACAGAGTGCTGAAAGCTGTTGTTTCTAAAATTTACCAGACAACATATGCTGTGTTTCATTATTTTCTTTGTTGTGTAATCAAAGTTGACAAGGGAGTAATATTTTCTTCTTCCTGCCATTGAGACCTTGATTTTGGCAAAGCCCATACACTGTGTGAGTAATCTCAGTGCTTGCTTATGTGTCACTTTGTCAGTATTTAAGATAATTTAGATTTAAATACTCTCAACTTCAGTGATTTAGATCAGCCTCGTTCAACCTTGAAATGATGCACTCATGATACAGGTAGAGTGACCCAGTTTGATATCTTCTACACCATTGTGTAAGAACAGTGGTTTTTAATACCATTGCCCAGGTATGAAAATGTAATCCAGCATATAGATACACACAGACATTTTGTTCAAGAAATCAGCAGCAAGTAGAAAATAGATAAATTTTTGAAATCTGTTTTATCCACTGGGCTATAGTTTTGGTTGATAAAAACTTCTTTTTGATCCTTAGAGCACACAGCATACCGGGATTGTTTAGGGTTTTGTCAGGTCTCTGAGAAAGCTTCACTCTCAAATGAAAAAAAGTAGCAAAGCCAGGAGATAAATTCCACTGAAAGGTCACAAGAGGCATTCACAAAAATTAACCTGAAGCAGAGAGTAACCTTCTATAGACAGCACCTCTAAAAGCTTATTTGGACCAGCACTCTAATGAGGTGATCTGGAATCACCCTTTGGCTGTGCCTGTTGTTTCTCCTCTGATTATACAGGAAAAACAAGTGAGACAAAGACCTTTGTCTATATAGCTCTATTCCATGTCGTCCTATATAAAAATACTTCTGATGTAGCTATACTTGGCAAAGCAGTATCTTGTCTCCCACTTACACAGACCCACT